GAAACCCTCTATTAGGACTTCCAAAAGGACTAGTCTAAAGTCACAGTGATCGTAATTGCCGATGGTCTTAATAATGGCTATAATTATCAAGGCATATATATTTTATGACCACTCTATTTGAAATTTTATGTGTAAACATGTTTTTAAACAATTATATTATAACCTTCAAAACAATTTGCAGAAAATAACATTAAACCACTCTGAAGCTTTATACAATTTTCTTTTCATAAAAGTTGCAAGACCTGTTTCAGCAAGTGTCATGCTTTAGAGAATTCAAGCAGATGAATACCAATAAACTTGTGATCTAAATAGGTATTGACTGGAATATCAGTGGTCTCAATAGTGGGATTAGATAAATAAAACAATGCATTGGAACTGAAACTGGTGGTCTTAAAAGCGGATAAGTGGTGCGGTCTTAAGTGTGGACCATGCTACCATTAACATAAATAACAGGAAATCTCGTTCTTTTGAATATAAGTCTCAATACAGGGGTGATTTAAATTCCGAAGTGGTCTTAAGTAGGGATTCTACTGTACTGTATTCTGCAATATCAGATGAACGCAATAGAATCGCCTTAAAAGCGCAATGGTCGTGTCGTGACAGTGCCGTTAAGTCGTTGTAAGAGCTTTTGAGAAAAAAATACAGCTCCGTGTATGCGCCGTACACACGCAGTATAGGCGCGATAGAGACGCCGCACCATCTCTGTGCAAGCGCCATGGCTAACAAAGGCGTTCATTCGGCGATCGTTCTGTGCTTTCACGGCGCTCCTATTGCGTTGTAGGAGATGCTATTGAGTTGCTACGGCGTCCTTACCGCGATCCCACAGCGCTCTTATCAGAACGCCGAGTGACGGCGTTTGTTTTGAGCATGTTCAAAATGCGCGCTGTCAGTCGGCGATCTATGCGATGCCACTGCGATGCTGCGGCGATGCTACGGCGATGTTTGCGATCTTACTGCGCTCACCTCGGCGTGCTGAAATTTCTTTGGACGCCGTGAGAACGCCGTCCTAGTGTGACAGGGGTTTAACTTAACAACGTATACAGTATAATATTATGTCATTAATGAAATTCAAGGTTAGTGTGTCACTTTAAGATTTTTAACATTAAAAATGATTTGCATAAAATGGGACATACTAAAGTTTGTATTTGAAATGAATACCTTTTGATGTTTTTTAAAACCGATTTTCGTATAGTACATGCCTCCTCATCACGCATATACTTCATTCGCACCTGCATATTATTACTTTTTGGGAATTTGTTGAATTTATGACTTGCTCACTCTTAAGCACTAAAGAGCCATGGGTCTTTCTAAATTTCTCTAAAACCATTATTTAAACAGTGCCCTATCTAAAAAAGTAAACATTTATTTGTGTCTGCATGGGGCATAATGTGCCTTTAATAAATACGTAAAAAATAAAGAAGTTAAGTAGTGATCAGCTCATTAATAGAGGATATTGAATGAGTGTAAGTTTAATACTGAATTTATTGAACGAGTTAAATAATTTTATTTTTATTCAACGAGTTCAATAAATTTGCCAACTTCATTGTCTTTAATTAGCTAGGGATCCTTTTTTCAAGTCTTAGAAAATATTAACAAGTAATGCAATATGTTATTTTTTCAATACATTACTTGGTTAAACTGGACGCCACATTGAATTTACCAGGGCACAGTTTAGCCACCGCATTAATCCTGGGGAGACTGTCAAATAGTTTACCAGTACTAGTTGCCTTCACCTTCGCAAGAAACTCATAACTTCTGTACATTATATTGCGAATGAATGTAGACAGGATTTCAATCGAAACGACAGTGACCTGCACCGTCCAGGAATCGAACCCGTGTCACTTTACAGTCTCATGCTTTACGTATTGAGCTAACTATAGACGGTTTCTGTACGAGTCATGATTGCTCGGTACAAATAAGACAACAAAACGACGCAAAATGGCGTTAATGGCACTTTATTTCAGGCATCATGTGAATAATATACATGTACAAATGCAATATTTTTAAGTGTTATTTATTACAAGTTATACATGTTTATGATATATGTTCCTTAATCCTTACCACAATAAAAATAAAATCAAATCATTTTTGTATTGTTGTAGCTTATATATAGAGGATAATGAATGAGTGTAAATTCTATACTGAATTTATTGAACGGGTTGAATAAAGTTATATCATGCGAGTCTCTGGCAAGCATGATATTATTTTATTCAACCCGTTCAATAAATTCAGTATTGAAATTACACGAATATAATATTCTATTTATCACATACCCAAATTGAAAATAAAGAGTGTTTAAAGTGAAAAAGAATTATTTCAAGGGGGTCATACGATGCGCGAGCACCCTCAAAATTCTGATACCGCGAACACTTTATCACCTGGTATTTTGAACAAAAACGAGTCAAGTAAAACAATCAGAATAGATTGGAATTTAATATATTTTTCAAAGAAGATGTCCTTTATTCTAGTTTTAATATTCAAAATGCACAACTCTTCCCTTTCTCGTCAGTATTTCGCGTTGAATGAGATTTCGATTCTGGATACTGCGTACACCCGGCGTTGAAATGTTACAGAAATTGAGAAATTGTCGATTAAACTGAAAGTTTCAGACGACTAGAAGTTAGTTCATTGTAGAATCTATTTTAAAATATATATTTTCAATCTTTGTGAATTTCTGTATACGAAAAAAGTCTTAAAACGCACTGTTTACAGAAAATAAACATTATGATACTGCGTACACTCTCAAAAAATCAAGATACTGCGTATATTTTTTTCGAAGCAGTCTGTACATTAAGATTGGGCAAAACAGGTAGCATGGGCGAAGTAATAAGATCAAAGCACAGATGGCGCTGAACTTGTTTGGGTCTCAGAATGTCAGAAAGGTGAAGGTTGTGAGATTATAAACCAATTTGTTTTTGTATAGTGCCATAAATGCTGTTTCCAGTGTTGTAACTGTAGTAAATTGGTTATAAGACTAATTACAATGTTTATTTGGCTTAAACAATTAATAAAAAAACAACCTGGATTTGAACTCAAGCCTCAGCGAGCGTGTAACCCCTCAACCACAGGGAAATTATAAGATAACAGTCTGAAGAAAACCACATTATTCTAAATTAGGGTTTGTAACCCTTACTCATTTCGAGATATTTTGTTCACGGTAAACCTGTTGTTTAACACTGATGTTAATAATCATAGAGCTTAATATATGCATGTATATCTGTAAGGAATTACACAATATTAGAAATCTTTGACCAATCGAAAACTATTTTTTCTTTCCCATTGAAGGCTTGAAAATTAATGAGCCTGTAATTTGAAAAACTTTACGCATTGATCTCCCCTTAATTTTTCGGCGTTATTGTACTTATAAAGGGAAGTAACCACTTCGAGGAGTTTGGACTACTAATAAGCGTATCAGGATCTGAAATTTCGCTACCATTATTTGTTTGGTCTGACGACTCAAACAAATAAAAATCAAATCTTGTGTGTCCTCTCGGAAACAATTGTTTAAAATGTATGTCCTAGAAAATGAGAAAATGTATAGACCGGAATTTAATATTTTTCATACAATTTGTTTACAATTTACAAAATGTATGTAGTCAGATGACTTTTTTTGCAAGTATATAAATTAACACATTACGAATAGAAAAGAGGAAGAAATTCAGGTATATCATTCAGATATCATAATGACATGTACATACACTCACAAATTCATAAACGTTATCATCATGTTACATGGTTTAAGGAAAATTTATTTGAAAACAAAATTAATAACACCATGACATATCATAATCCTATTAACGTCCCGGACCCATTGACAAATGCAGTAAATAGTTCAAATTAAGAAAAGTGAGAATTAAACTTGAAAAGTTTTGATTTTAGTTTTTTTCTTCAGTATGTATTAATGTGCCACGAAATTATAATTTTGTAATTTTTCGTGTGTTGTTGCATAATTGAATAGTTTTTTTTTTTTTTTACAAATACTGTTGAAACAAAGTGATCCTACTTGCTTGGTGGTCTCAATAGTATAGTCAATAGAGGGTAATATTGCAGCCGCCATATAACCGTTATTGCAAACTTCCTTTTTACGAGAAAAAGTTTAATGTCTTCATAAGTTGACATCAGCCGTGTATATAAAACTATTTATTTAATTTTACTTACGAAATATGGTGCTATATCAGTCAAATATGTAGCATATGTGTTAAAAAAATATGAAAAATAATTATGAAAGTGGGTGGAGTCAAAACTTATATCAATTTTAGGGACTACTTTTTCAGATGATTTTCTGTGGCAGTCTGTAGCTTTAGCTACTCATTTTATTATCAGAAATTAGTTGGTTATCTTTTCTCAAGACTGTTCAAGTCAAAATGGTCGTGATAAATTATGTATTGTACTGCATTCCGCATCTTTAAATAGTCAGCTGAAGTTTTCGTAAACATTTTTTTGTTTTTGTTATTGTTATTTTCTTGAAGGTAAAATTAAATAAAAGGTTATATTTTCATTTTTCGTAAAATATGGTATATATTTTCACTTAACATAATTAAATTCAATAAATTTCACTCGCCGTTCCGGTTCGTGAAAATATATGGAATCTTCGTGAAAATATCGTCCATATTTCACTCAAACAAAAACATATCCTCTTACTAAACGTCACGTTTATCCAATGAAAATCGACGTTACAAACGTGCAATTTTATAAAAAGCAGATGACGTCACGTCAAAATATATGCACGACCTACAATACCATTTTACGAAGTCGCAAAAGAGGCACGGGTATGTGGTAAAGTATAATAATGTTCGGTTTTTCGTTCAAACGTTTTGTAATAAATCACTCAGGCCTTTTGGCCTTCGTGATTATATTCTTGAACTCAAACCGTACATAATTCTACAACTGATATTTATTTTCTAATAAGATACAATAGCCGAACTTATTTTCTCCATATGTATTTACAAACCGGCATATTTACGGCGCCATTTTGGAAACTCTGATAAAGAAAAAACAGCTTTCTTTTTTGTTGAATTTTAATACCGGAAAAATTATGATCATTCAAAAAATCTATAGGTTAGTGATGAAATGGGCACTTTGCCTTATCCCCCGTGTTTGTCAATTTCTTTAGCATTATATTTGGATCATAAAAAACTTCAATTGACTCAATTTTCAGACTCTCGTTGACCCGAACAACACAGCTCCCGTACATTTCTAGGGTCTCCCCTGTAGGCTCAACATCTTTATAGCGACCGACAAACTCTCCCCAGTGGCGCCAAGTGAACGTTACTGTAGGTGGTCCTGAAGTTGTTCAATATATTAAGAAAACGATGAAAATATAGTTTCGTGATATGAAATTAAATTTCCATTAGAAATACATTTTACACAAAGATTAATATTATAATTATCATTTCCTAATCAAGTTCAATTTACTTTTTACTTCTGAACTGAGAGTGGAACTAGAGCAATCTACGACGCAGAAGATGAAGTGTATGGTAACCTTTAAATGTTATTTATTGTTCACAGCAGGGTAAATGTAGTTTAAACGTACATTTGCTACATTTTCATTTCAAACTGTTTCATGGTCTGTAAACTAAGAACTAAATAAACACTGCATGTTTTAGGTTAAAGCTATTATTTGAATAAACCACAGGCTCGTGCATCTATATGGAACTAGTTGATAAATACTATCATGTCTTGTACAACTTGAAACACCATCTAAGTAAAGTTTTGCAATGTTATTTTAAACCGTTGCAACGTTTTGTAATATAAACACACCCGTGAACTAGTTGCAAGTAGAAAAGATGTGCGTTAGGTAAGTTTTTTATCGTGTACTAGACTTCTGCATAATATATCATAGAAAATGATGTCTATACAAGCAGGTACGTATATTAACGTACCTGATACAAGAGACAAAAAAAGAAGATTATATCTTGCTAATCCGGTTTAAACTTGATATTTCTGTAGTAAATTCTACCTGCATCAAGCTGTCCTACTCGCTACATGTTAACAAGTGTGATAATAGGGGCGTTTATATCTGTGATGTAAAGTAACAATAAATTATTTTTTGTTATCTCGTGGAAACTGCACATTTGAATTGTATGCAAATATAATAACTGTTAACAATATGTTGATGTATTTAGACCCGTTTTTATGTGGGAGAATAGCTTTAAACCGCTTCTGAAAGTTGTTTTTTTTGGGGGGGGGGGGGGGGGGGCATGTGAATATAGTATAGAATTGTGACCAAAACACTCAAATATGACCACATAACACCTATCTTACGTGAACTTCACTGGCTTCAGGTAGAGTATCGGGTCGAATATAAAATTTTGACTTATGCATATAAATCCCTCATCTTCGATCAATCACCAGCCTATGTATAAAAGACATGATAGACGTGTACATCCCAGTCAGAAATCTGAGGTCCCAGAATAACTCAATGACATTAGTTGTGCCTAAATCTCGGACAGTACGATATGGTGACAGGTGCTTCCAGACAGCCGCAGCGAAATTATAGAACGCGTTACCACCTGACATTAGAGACTGTAATACCTTGCCATGTTTTAAGAGAGCTCTCAAAACACATTATTTCATAAAGTTCTATGGACGTTAGTTCATAAATCATCATACATGTACTACTTTTGCTATATCATCAGTGTTAATTTTAATTGAGCCTTGATTTTAAACTAAATGTGTCTGTATTTCTTACCATCCTTTACTGGTTTTAGATTATTATTATTGTTTAATAGGTTTACTTAATTAATGTTGTACATTATGTCTTATATATATATATGATTATGTTTTATCGGATTTATGTAAAGCACTCTTGAACATTTATTATTTATGAAGAGTGCTATAGAAATGTGGTATATAATAATAATAATAATAATAAATAATATTCAACACGCATGAATGAGATTGAACTGAATTTTGCACACACCATTTCTGTTCCAGAATGTCAAATTTTACATAACGTTTCAATTATTGTTCCGGTATCTGTATATAAGTCTTACATAAATCGGTCGTACCATTATACAATACAATACAATACAATACAACATTCTTTTATTTCGTCAAGGTTACATTTGTAACAACAGACATTACAATAATCAAGTAAATAAATACATGCGTGGGTATCAAATAGAAAACAATTACATGTTTCACGTCAAGTATGATAGATAATCAAGCGAAAATTAGTACATGTAATACAACAAGAAACATTTTTTTTTTAACCTTAAAACTTAATATAAATTTAAGTATGGGGACAGCGATATTTAACTGTCTAATTTCTATAGGAGATAAAGTGGAGCACGTGGAAAGCGTGTAAAACTTATTTACGTCATTCATTAGTGTTACTATGGAATGTCATTGACGGAGTAAAATACAATTTCAAAAAGTAAAACCAACGTGTAAATGTGTTCATGATGTGCGCTATAAATATACTAAGATTTTTTAGGATATCGCTGTTACTACTTTTAAGGAGTTCTTGGTATTTAATGATATTTGGATATCTGTGAAAATAATTTGGAATAAGCTGCTTTCTTTTTTCGGTGAAATAATTACAAACCATCAAATAATGGAATTCATCACCTAAGTCATTTTGGCATAGTGGACACTTTCTATTAACATATGGGATATTAGACCAACGGCCAGTTTCAACAGGGAATTTATGATTTGCAGTCCTAAACTTGAGAATAGGTAAGTATAAGTGTTTTGGCAATGATGTCAAATAGTCTTCACGCTCAAACTGATATTTAAACAAGTTATAGAGTTTGCCTTTATTTGATAGTTGCATTCTACTAAACCAGTCGGTAATAAATTGATCAATCAGTGTTTGTTTAATTAACAAATGAACGTTACATAAGTTCGAAGAATTTTGATTTAGGAATATTTCACTGTGACCGGTTAGATCAAGGGTAGATTTAAAATAATCAAGCCATTTGAATGTATAATCACTATTTAACATAAATTTGTAGATAAAATTTGAGTATTTATATTGATGAACTTGCACTAAATTTTTCCAAAATTTAATAATACGTGTTTTGATAACTATTTCAAGCGGATATCTACCTAATTCGCCATAGAGCATGTACGCAGGAGTACTTTTTCTGCAATTTGTTATTTTACGCAAAAATTCAATATGTACTTTTTCGATGTCTTGAGTATTTTCTATTCCCCATATTTCGCATGAAAATAACAAAATTGGAACAATGGTGTTATCGAATAGTTTGAGTTGTAAATCAAGAGGTAAACAAAGATTATTTATTCGTTTGTACAAAAGGTGCATTGCTTTTCTAGCTTGTGTAATTAAATGATCTCTTGCTTTCTTAAATTTCCCATTAGGACTAAACATAACGCCTAAGTATTTATAACTATCGATTATTTGCAGAGCATTTCCATTAAGCGTAAATGACATATTGCGTACCCCACGTGTATTTGAACCAAAGATAATAACTTTGGTTTTGCTAGTATTTATTTTTAATTCCCATCTTTGATATGATGTGTTGTGCAGGTTCGTCAATTATTTTATTGCAATATAGAAGATTAAAAGTGTGTATCGACAATTTCATCCAAGTAGTGGCTATGAATATTGTGCACATTTCTTGAGTATATAATTATGGTTTTTACTTTCAAAATATATTTTTATAGTGTGTCACATAACTTTTCATTTCCCTTTTATCATGTTTTGTACAATTTAAACTTATGACTATAAAGGAAAGAAAAAATACTTTTCCAGGATTCAAACCTGGGTCTCTACACTCACGGAGCGAACACTCTACCACTACGCCATTATGCTAGACGCACAAAAATGAGCTAGTGGTTAGGTGGTAAAAGATTTAAGCTATAAGTACATTTGTAGTATGTTTTTATAACAATAATCGACACCCCTATTTGTCAATATTTATGTAAACAGATAATGAAAGGAAATAGCGAATTCGAGCTGTACTATCAAATAATGTTGTTAAACGAATTAACTGTATTAACTATTTTTGTTACTTTCCACAAAATACAAAAAAAAATCAGCATAATGTACACATTTTGTTTTCACATTTCAGAAAATTTGAAAAAGTTGGTGGTATTTTATGGCGGCTTTTAGTAATTTGTCAAAAACAAACAAAAAATGAATATACACATAATTAAAGAGAAGAAAGTTCCAAGAATAAAATTCATTTACCAGATTGGACTTCTAACACTTCCCATGGAAATTTATTATCAAACGTCTTCCTGAACAGTTCATGTGACGAATCATTAGTTTCTTTGCTGGCATCATACAGAACGCTCTCGTCCATGAGCATATTGTAGTTACCATACTCTATGTTATCATCTAAATTGAACTTCCTACCACCGTTTGAACTGATGTAAAACTTGTCCGGGTCAACAGAACCCCAGTCCTGCCAAAAGCAAATGAGCCATGTCACGACAAAACCAACATAGTGCGTTTGCGACCAGCATGGATCCAGACCAGCCTGCGCATCCGCGCAGTCTGATGAAGATCCATGCTGTTCGCTATCAGTTTCTCTACTGCGGATGCGCAGGCTGGTCTGGATCCATGCTGGTCGCAAACGCACTATGTAGGTTTTGTCGTGACGCGGCTCAAATAAAGTTAATGTGATAAATAGCGGGAACATACAATGCTCACAGATTACAAGGTAATCAGTTATTACAGTAATTTATTTTTTTTTTCTATGGGGGTGGGGGATATTGCGTCGCACAATAGAAGTAGTACCACCGACGTTGCGTAAGCCAGCCGGATAGCTCCTCAAATGAAAGAATTCAAAGTCCCTGGCGGGTTTCTAATCAATAGCAGTGAGGGAATAGAGGTTGTACCACTCGCACTGGACGCCTCTATTAGTAAAAGAAAGAGCATCGAAACACGAGGCTATCTGATTTGTACTCTTTTGTATAAAAACACGTTCCCCGATGTCACAATATGAAACCCCAGAAAAAAGTAACCAATGAACGAGCATCTGAATAAGATATTTCTATCGCTATCCCTTTCTCTGTCGTTACAATATGTAAATCCCAGACAAAATGAATTAATCAATGGGCATGCTCTGGAGTGCGGGTAACTAATGCCTGCACTCCAGTTAACGCACTGTGCATGTACATGTATATGTATACGATTTAACTTTGACACATTTTTAACAGAAAGGTATATAAATAGTGAAAGAAATAATACAGATACAGGTGTCTCTTTCGGCCTCAATTTTATCATCTTAAAAACAGTTTTTATATGTACATGTACCATGTTTGATTATTCAGTATGTTTTTGTAGTGAATTCTTCTAAAAAAATTCCATTTCCAGCACAATGGTTGCACAGGTTGTTTGTTGCAAAGATATAACTTTTGGATTTGTCATCCGAACTGTTGCCATTTACATTATAATCATTTATAATAGTTGTTGTAAATTGTTAAGTTCATGTTTTACATATATTGTCATTTCAATGTTGACAATGATGGTGTTTATTGGTATTGTTGTTTGTAGTTAGATTGACTTATTTTGTTAGTCACTTTTATAATTAATGTACTTCATGTGAGTTTTTTTTATAATGTTAAAAATCAAAATGAATTTTAAAGACACGTTATGTCTCTGAAATGAATCATTTTTTTACTTAGAATTTTAAAAAGAGCCAACATGAATTTTATAACGTTTAAATAGTGGTTTTAGAGCATGTTAGCTTTTTATCACCTAAAGCACGTGAAGAACGTATCGATAAATGTGAAATATTTTGTTATTTAAGACAAAGTAGTATTTTGACTTACTACAAAATATGTATTCATTTTAACTGTACTCATTAGTATTTGCCAAACAGCAATAGATGAAAAAGATGGTTCAGGTAATTGACTAATTAGTTACTTTGGTCAAAGAGGGTTAAAAATTTCAGACCGCATTTAAATAAAATGATGATTTCCTTTTAAATGTTGTAATAGAATTTCTATTATTTTACAGTGTAGCAATACCACGTGACTATAACGTCATTTTCGGCATCATTTCCAAGACAAATATTGCTCGATTCGGAAAAGAAAATAGCCGTAAATATTTTATTTCTGTACCAATTTCTTTGGAATATGCACCAGTCAACGGGGAAAAATATAAGCTTTCCACAGAATATTGGATCTTCGTCAGTTTATAAGCCGTTTTATCAAACACTTTGCATAACCTTGGAAGTTTCTTGTATTAGAGCGGGCTTCAGTTACAAGCTATTTCGTTTTCTGGCGTTATTTGTCTAAGCCATGATTAATAGGTCAGGTTTACATCAACCGGGGATACAGACAGCAAAATCCTACCTTTATATGTTTATATGTTTATTATTTATGGCGTAAATCTTGCCCTTTTCTTCAATTGTCAATTCTGGCACCAGGTCCAAGTCGAAAAAAAGGACTACAGTTTAAAGCAGATTTTAGAATCCGTTGCAAATGCAAAGCAACATGCCTACCGTTCTCTTTCTATAAATATGTTAACCATGAAAAACATTTTATTTACTAACGTTTATACGATTTACATAAACACAAATGAATATTTAAATGATTTTTACTCGCTGCGCTATAAGTGATTTTAAAAGTCGTAAAATTGTTGTCTGTATTTGTAAAGAAATTGATTTGCTCTTTAATCATTGTTCTTTCAAGGTAAGGATTATGAAAAATCTATTAGTGTCATGTAGCAATACTAAACGTGGAATATTCAAAATAGAGAGAAAACAGAAACCCTAAATATCGCCCAAAACGGCAAAATTGAAAATGTTGCAGGCTCAGTTTGACTTAGCTAGCCTGTCCAATGAACGTGCACATTCAGGATCACTTCCAATTGTATGCTGTGAAAAGGGTTACGCCTCAACGCGGCAATTTTAAAGTCAAAGGTTATTCTTTTGTAAAGAGTTATTTATACGTATAACCATATATATACTTGGTAAAGAACCTGTAGCAATGTTTTGGTATGATAGATTCAGCTTTTTAACACAGTGGCACTCGTTGATAAAAATATTTTTACTTCCTGTTTTCATACCCTCGGTGACCGTTTTTCGTGAACTGGATATAACTTCGTTCACTTAAGAACACTAAACACTATTTATTTTATTATCGCATTTATTTCTGTTGATAAACTGCATATCTGACAATTTAGTTAATTATATCAGTCAACCCAGCTTTATAATACACATTGTAAAGAGAGGAAGGGAACGGAATATTTATGGTTTGAAAACATTTACTAGTAAATCGAGTAGAATTTTTTTAACAATAATGTCTCTTTCAACTGAATAAAACGATAGAGCTATTTGGGACTATTTCTTATCGATGTGGTCATTGGCTGTAAATGCATGGATTATTGCACGCGGCATGACCTGCAGATGTCCTCAACAGAATTTTTGTAGCATTTTAAGATTTAAAAAGGGACCACATATTAAAATCTAAAACATGATAAACATAATGCATATGTCAAATAAGTGAATTATCTGATATGTAAATAAAGAAGTAAGTCATTTGACAGTTGAAGGATAAAAAATGAATAAACTCTTCAAATGTAATCGTAATTTTACTTAGCTTATGTTAGCTATCAATTATTCAATGGACGCATCAGTGTCATATGGACCCCGGTCATAGATCTGGCCGGTGTTGCTTTTACAGATGTTAATGTAAATATTTATATAATTATTGATAATCATTGTTTTTTCCGTCTTTTTGAATGTTTTGTTTCAAGAAATTTGACTATGATCGATGGCTGTTCGTTTGTAAAATCATTTATCTGTTTACTATTTTCTACTTTGTTTACTCCACATGGCGTCCATTCCCGTTCTTTATTGGCGACTCATGGCTATTTTGGGCCTTTTTGATAAATAGAGAAAACTAAGTAACAATACTGTAAGGTTTACACGGCAAAGTTCCAAGTTATATGTAATGATATTTAAAATTGTTCTACACAAAGAACAAAATCTGACTGATGATGAAAGTGCTTATAGTTTAATAAGCATAAAATGTCAACGTCATGTTAATGCGCGTGACAAATAGATTCAAGATTTTAATACCGATACATGTGCATAGTACTTCAAGTTGTGATTTCGTTTATAGAAATTTATTATACGGCAATTCCAGAAAAAAAAAACCTTTTAAAAGTCTATTTTGAGGACAGAAGAACCTATTCGTCACATTCACGAGTGTCAGTGTTTGTCAGTTACTCTTTACAAAAAATAGACTGAAAAAAATACCTTAAGCTTTACAACACTCGCGTTAAAGTGTTACCCTTTCCGTAGCATACAAAAGTTTTGTTTTTTTATTTTAACTCTTTCTCTCACTGAGAGCACATATATTACTTATCAATTTCGCCATTTTGAAATAGAATAAAAACACATTTTACTACATAGGATAAGATGAGCAATACTTTAAACATCTTCAAAACGAAACCAAAATATGATTTTTCGACAGGACTAAATCTACGTGATTTGACGTGCAGTAAGTGTTATTGCTTTAAGGAACAATCAGTTTTTTCACAATCTCTCTGTGAAAGATCAACATTGAAAAACTAAATTGTAGAAAGAGAACGGTAGGCATGTTGCTTTGCATTTGCAACGGATTCTAAAATCTGCTTTAAACTGTAGTCCTTTTTTTTCGACTTGGAACTGGTGCCAGAATTGACAATTGAAGAAAAATGTAAGATTTATGTCATTCATTATAAAAATATAAACATATAAAGGTAGGATTTTGCTGTCTGTATCCCCGGTTGATGTAAACCTGACCTATTAATCATGGCTTAGACCAAATAACGCCAGAAAACGAAATAGCTTGTAACTGAAGCCCGCTCTGATACAAGCAACTTCCAAGGTTATGCAAAGTGTTTGATAAAACGGCTTATAAACTGACGAAGATCCAATATTCTGTGGAAAGCTTATATTTTCCCCCATAGACTGGTGCATATTCCAAAGAAATTGGTACAGAAATAAAATATTTACGGCTATTTTCTTTTCCGAATCGAGCAATATTTGTCTTGGAAATGATGCCGAAAATGACGTTATAGTCACGTGGTATTGCTACACTGTTTTATATACATTGTATATTAAATCGAGTTGCTTGTGTTAAATTCACATTTTGCCTCAGAAATGATTTCGTTTGTTCTTTAGAAGGGACAAAAATGTGTGTTTTTTTGAAGAATATTCAATTATGGATTTAAAGTATAGATGATTATCACTGTAAGTGAAAATTTCTGAATGTGACACAAAGTAAAATGTCAAAATAGTGGTATTTTGTCAACCGTACACAATACTTAATCACTATAACTGTACTTATTACCCCCCCCCCCACCCAAAGAAAACAAAAACAACAAATAACAAACAAACAAAAAGGATGGTCCGCATGTTTTGTCAATGTGTACTTTTTGGAAAAGTTGCAGATACACTAAAACACTAAAAAAAACAAGAGCTGTTACTGAAAAGTGACTTATGTCCCCGAAAGGAAGCTTTGACATTAAATCTGCAATATATGCTAAAATATTGGTTATATATGGCTAATCGCCTTCGATAAATATCATTCGTAAAATTTAACTGAAATTCCATTAGAACTGTAGGTGAAAAAGTCTAAACAAATTTCACTAAAAAAATCATTATCAAGGACCTACAACTGTGTGAAAAAAAATCATGCACTAAATAATGGCACAATGCACAACTTGACTTGGAAAATCATAACACCTTGCAAACAATTATATAAATGTTAACTGAAATGTCCCAAGTGGTTTTAGATAAAAAAAAAATCAACTTTACAGGATTGTTTGTCACTATGCTTTGTTGTACCTAGTGTCTTGTAGTGTCTTGATTTTCCGCTTGATTATTTTGGCACAATATGGCCCCTAAATTTGGTCATTTTTTGTAAAAATAAGTTTGTCCACTGAAATCTCCCAACGCTTTTCGAGATGAAGCGCGGACAAGCCTATTTTATTCAAAAACTGACCATTCAGGGACCATAACTGTGCCCCCCCCCCCCCAAAAAAAAAAAAAAAAAAAATAAGCGGAACATTATTATTATGCGCAACTAGGCTTGTTGAAAAACAATCATGTGAAGTTTCACTGAAATCCCCCAACGGTTTCGGAGATGAAGCGCGAACAAGCTTCATTTACTAAATAATTGCCCATTAAGGTACCATAACTGTGCAAAAAAAATTCAAGCGGAATAATAATATCTGTCATATGTTGCGGTTCGGACCGGAATATCCGTCCCGAGGTGACCCGCCCATTGGGCGGTAACGAGGCTTGCCGAGTTACCGCCCATGGGCGGGTTACCGAGGGATGGATATTCCGATTCGAACCGCAAACATATGTCAGATATTTTTTCTTGCATATTTTACAATATTCCATTATATTTTAAATTCTTTATCTTTATTTTCAACGGAAATTCATATCATTACAACCGTAACTACTTTCTTACAACAGCGTATGAAATTGCAACTTCATTCATAACGGTAAAATGACGTCATCCTAAGCGTGCCATTGTGCAGCACGCGACTCATCTGGCACCCCCCATGCCAGATGAAATTTCCGGCATGGCTAAACACACGGAAACGCCAGTCTACTATGCAAGAAAAATCAAGAGAGTATGCACAACTAGGTTTGGTGACAAACAATCCTGTGAGGTTTCACTGAATAAACCCTAAAGCGATTTTGGAGATGGAGCGCAGATAAGCTCATTATTACTAAAAAAAATCATCATTTTAGGGTCATAACTGTGTCAAAAATTCAAGCGGAAAATCAAGAGAATATGAAACAACAAGGCTTGGTAACAAACAATCCTATGAAGTTTCACTGAAATTCCTCCATCGGTTTTGGTTATGAAGCCCGGACAAAATTATCAGACGGACGGACGGACAGTGCGATTACTATATACCGCCCTTCGGGGGCGTAATTAAAAAAATAATTTGAGAAATGAAAATTATATACCATATTTTGGCGTAAATACAATATATGTGTGTACTATATTTAAGCGCAATATGCCTTTAAGTAGAGTTGGCTTTTTTAAACCTTATCAATTATAATTCACATCCGTACTTATTCATGGCTTTCGTGATACACTTGTATTTTAAACGGACTTATAAGCTTGCTCCAGGTGTGACTGTAAATATGGCTAAAATAGCAACAAATGTAACATAAAATAATGATTTACCCTCTTTCTTGTCTTGTGACTACTTTCCATCTCCCAAGTTTTCACTAAGTCCTCAACTATTCTCTCCAAAGATCCTTGTTTGTGTTTTCTAGTTCTTTCTTTTATAAATTTTTCATTAACATCAGTATAGTCGGGTTTAGACCCATGACGCCACACAATTTCCGGATCTTCCATGTGTTGCCTTATTGGTACATCTTCCGCATTTATTGACATCTTTTCACGTGTTTCTATATGAATGGAAAAAATTCACCTTATTCCTTTTTTGATCGTTTCAAATTAGAAATTTTCTGACAGCGTGTATTTTACCGTTCATTTAAACGTCTCGTCTAACGCACACGAATAGGTTCTATTTATGTAATAGTACTGTTGAAGTTTATATATTTCGGAACCGTTGTAAGTATAACATGGATCAGTGCACTTCAGGATGTTGATAGAACATTTATACTTATTAACGGACGGACGGACTTTGCAGTGAGACGTTGTAGCATAGAGGTAACATGCTGGTCTTTTAATCAGACTGTTTCGGGTTCAATCCGACCAGTTACATTTTTGTTATTAGAAGATATCTTGTTTTTTTTTCAATAACCGGGTTCTTCGTGAGTGTGTCATGTGTATTAATTACACATCTTGTTTAACACAATTCAATTGAGATTTTGTGCTACACATGACACAATAGCTTTAAACGGAAATCATATAGTTTATTGCTAACACGCGAGTTCTGTTCATGTTTGGTTGAAGTATATGCTATGGCGTTGTAAAAAGGACATCATCACACTTTTTGAACTTTTTGTACTTGATTTCGTTGGCAACTTGTCATCGCAAATGGTGTGTAAAGGTGCATTGTCTACCACCACGGTAATAATCTTTTGATGTACTGGCTTGGCACCGGAGACGAACTCACCGGCACCGGTGCCAGCGACAAAGAATGCCACAGAGGTTGAAGACATTGTTTGATTTGCTGAATTGAATTGAATTGTATCCTTTTATATATGATATAGCATTCTCGTAAATAAAACAAATAGAAAAATATATATCAAAAAATAAAAAAAAATAACAAAAGAAAGTAAAAAGATGAAAAATAAAATGAAAAGAAATTTTAAAAATGCCTAATAAAAGTATCTTCCCCTCGTGGAATTTTAACTTACGACCTTCCGCATGCAAAACAAGCACTGCACTAACAGGACAGATAATATTCTTTTATCTGTTTTCCTGGTGGCGTTTTCGTATATGGCTTTTTCCTACCCCTGTTTACTATTAAATTTAAGATTTCCCATTCTCGATCATATTTGTGTGTACTTATGTATAATAAATTATAAAGGAGTTAAAACAACGTGGTAACATTACATCCTGTAATAAATTAAATATCTATTAACATATAAATCGTAACCAAAGTGCATTTAACAATCTATTTCCCGTTAACGTGAGAATGTATACATGTATACACATGTAACCTATGTATCCGTCCGTTTAGGCACAAAAAACAGCTGTTGTTGTCGAGTTCAGTTTTTAAGGCCTAAGTGGGCGTGAAGGATTGTCCTCCGTGCAAATACATCGCAATACATGGTTGCACAGTGATGATGTTTATCAAATGTGCGTAATAAATATTTAAATCTCATCTTAAACCAGATTACACTTCATAGCGTTGTGCATTGGAGCTTAACTAAACGCAATTTTTTTGAGCTAATATTAATATTGAGCACGTTTTGATATTTCTATAATAACATTACAACGTCTGCTGGAGCGGACAAAACTATCCGGCTTTATAGTGCATAAAACCCGTACTTCATCGTCTGTGACAATAGCCATTGTTTGAGTTTTTTTCGTGCATATTAATCAAAGTTTTAAAAAAAATTAGTACACAAATTATTCTTTTTCATTTATTACAGTTTAGCTAACTTTAGCACACCGTGCTCATTTATCTGTCGTGACCAGAATGCGTCATATCTAATGCTCCCTAGCACCGGCTTAAAAGTATTTAAATTAATGATCTCAAAGACCCAGGAAATATAACAGTACTTTAAAAGACTAAACAGATTTTGATGAATATTTACTTGAATGGTCAGTAGGTAAAATATTCTAATAAATGGCTGAACCGTTCCGGCCAGCTGAACAGTAAAGCCACCAGAGATAGAATTCTCATCATCTGCGTATGAAGGCACCTTTTGTATCCATCATCTTTTTCTCTTGAGCACTGTCCTTATCACTTCAATATTCGATCGTTTGTTTTGTTGTTTTTGGCTGTGTTTTTGTTGTTGTTTTTGTTGTTGTTGTTTTTGTCCTTGACCTTTTAAACATCTAGGTGTTTAATTTGTTATCTTCACTTTCTCTTCAATTTTCCTAGTTATTACAGCAATTGTTCAGGTTTTGTTTCTTTACAGCTTACCCATTCTTTATTTGGCTTCAATTTTGCCCACACCTGTACACTCAAAAACTACAGCCTCTATAGCACTTTCAATTCTGGATTGCAATTTGAAAAGTTTTGCAACCATATCCTTTTTTCTCATCTTATGGTGACTTTCTAATATGATCCTAAAGACAAGTTCAAAGTGAATATCTTCAGTATTTTCAAAGATTTATGTTACATGTAAAAGTAAGTTGTTAACCTTAAAAAAATCATAATATATTTAGTGTATTCTGATTGGTTAATTATCTCGTGCGCACGACTTAGTTATCTCGTTCCCACGACTTATAAACTCGTGGCCACGACATAGTATATCGTGCCCACGACTTAACTATCTCGTGGCCACGACCTAGTAACTCGTTGCCACGACATAGTATCTCGTAGGTAAATAAAAACACACACATGTCACCTTTGTGTCACCGTACATGACGACATTGGAAATATTTTGTTAAGATTTATGTAGCATTTTATTAACGTATGTGCAAAAATTCAAATTATTCACTCAGTATAATAATTTTTATTGTAAACAATTAACCAAAAATGGAAAGCGTTTTGTACGCTTATTAATTAAAATTTGGCATACACTCGCACAAATACGATTTTTAGTTTTATTTCGAGTATATGTATTAATCTTTCCATTTAAAATACATCAGTTTACATTATACTGTACCACCGTGAGCTATAAAAAGTAGTTCGACTAAAGAAAACATCTTTACGATCCTTACGCTTTCTTTCCTTGGAGACAAAAGAACTTTTATTAATTGCATTTTTGCTCCTCCAAGCTATATACTGTATTCATTTTAGACGACCGACTTTATGTTTATGATAGTCTTTTTTAATTGTTTACATATACTTACATTGAAAACCCTTGAAAAGGCTCGTGTATATGCATGTATACATATGCATCTACTGAAATTCTGCAATTTTATATTGTATTATCAAGCCCCAAAATGTCAAGAAAATTACAGCTTTGATCTTGTTTAATCCATTGAAGGGTAACAGCTGTGTTGGAGGCAGTGTAGCTCCGTCTAAATTTAAAAACGGCAAAGTCTCTCAGTTGGATAACTAGCTCTAGCTTGTAATTGTTGGTGACTTTATATCATAACAAAAACATAACTATAATTTACACCGCAAACAATTCACGAGATTTTATTCACGTATACAACTTTCGCAAGATGAATCATTTGAAAAAAAATCAACCGAAATATCAAATTCATAGTATTTACATAACGTCTCGAAGCATTTTATAGAAGAAGAAGAAGAAGAATCTTTATTTTGCAAATTAACTCTCAAAAGAGTCATGTACAAGCATTCATAATATATACAATAACATGTATGCATAAGTAAATAACTAATTACATAGCAAGATGACGTGACTGCAAGTATTTCTTTCCTTTCATTATTATAATGGTTACCATTGATTATATATTTAATTTACAAGTTATTTACTTTTTGAGAGATTCTACATTCAAATATATAATAATAAGAAATACTTCGTGTATGTATTAGGCTTGCAATCACGGGAGAGACATTGTCAGCATCTATTACATAGTATACTTTTAATTCTCTTCCATACACTGGTCTTTGTATTACATTTACTAATCTAAGCTATATGGTTTTGATTTATTGCAATAGTAATATGGCACAAAATATTGAAATTATACAAACAAAACAAAACAAATGTTACTTCTAAACTATACTTTGAACACATATAATGATTCAAACTTGATACAAGTAAGACCAGTGTATTTATAGCCTTTATAATCATCGTGTTACTTAACCTATTATGCATATAATACACAAAGAATTGCAATGTATCAATAATACATCTATATACAATTACATGACAGCTAATATTCGTACGTTACACACATAGAAGTACAATACAATGTGTCAATTAACTTCTATGTACGTTTGCATGGGACTAGATATTCGGTTTGCATAAAACATATAAACATATATATAGAACTTTAAATTAAACATTTTTTGTACCTTTACACAAGAATTGTTTGTAACTGTTGTCTAATATGGAAGGCATGGTCTATAAACATAGCTAAATTTCTAATATCATGTACATTATCGCTTGTAACCAACTGAACAAATTTAAACATGCTAGGAAACCTCCAGTAATATTTCTTTAAAAATCTTGTTCGGAGTTCCTGATAAATAGGACATATAATGACAAAATGGAACTCGTCCTCTAATTGATTACATGCTACACAGACTCTATCATTTAAAGGTACACTGTGGGGTTTTCTCCATCTACCCACCTCAATTTCTAGACGATGAGAAGACATTCTTAAACGTGACAAAGCTATTCTATACTTTTTAATATCAACAATATCTAAATATCTACTAAAACTGAAATCATTAAAAGTATGGTAAAATAGTGCTCTGGAAGAATTACTGATTCGAGCATTTAAATCCTGTTTCCATGTGTCTCTAACTCTCTGGTTAAATACATTAAGAAAAATTTTAGCATGCGGAACTCCTTGGTTTTGCCATACATTGTTAAAACCTAATCTAGACAATAATTATCTTACGTTCGAAACCCAATTTATTTTCCTACTATTATTTTCACAATCTGCTTTTAATAGTAAATATGCATGTTTAGTATACTTGTTGTCTTCTGACATACACAATTTCAACCAATATCTGATTATTGAACATAATCTGTAAACTTCTAGATTAAATCTGCCCAGTTCACTATATACAAAATCATTTTGAGTAGGTATCTTAACACCAATTAACGTTTTACAGAAATGCAAAAATGTTCGTTCTACCTGTATACCTTTGAAAAAGCCCCAGACTTCTGAGGAATAACAC